GTCAAAAATATCTGTCTTAGTCTAAAGTTGTTAGTATTTAACAATTATTCGCCAAAGGCGAGGTTGATATCGTCGAATAATCTCTAAGACAAAGTCAAGGGGATTATTCGACAATATTCACTGAACCTGAGGTGAATAATTGTTTTAGTATAATTTCAGAGCTGAACAAAAGTGAAATTTCTAAAATCATAACATTTTAGTAACATTTTATTTCAACATTTTATATAAACCGCGTGGAGCAGTTTATATAGCATCATATAAGGAACTGCTCGACCAATCAGATTGCTGGAAACTCTTTGCTCAGCTCTGAAATAATACTAAAATATATTAGTACCTTAGCAAAAACACTGCTGTCTGATGAATATTAAGGAAGCCTGTTGCCTAATTATGAAATGATTGCATGAGCTTGTTTGTTTTTTGGAGATTTGAATAACTCATAGATTTAGCCTTTTGTGTGTGGTAGTTGATGAGGATGTCACCCTTATAAACTATTGGAAGATCTTAAGCTCATAAATTATTTAACACAATTGTTAGATAGAAAATTTTAGTTTGAAAATATCTGTCAATTCCTATAATTGTGATTAACACCATGGTTTGACACCATATTCTTACATGTTGTAAACTGTACATTACTGGCCAATTCCAGGCTGTTATATACAGTGTAGTTATTTCTGTTTCTTTGTTAGAGATTTCTGTCCTATAATTGTTAATTAACCATACAAGAGAAAATATCTATCTGCTTTCATTAGATTTGGCACTTTGAGGTTATCTTGTTTGTGTTGAAAGGTTGGCTTTTCAAATGTCAGGGAAGATGCTTTCATATTGACAGAAACATCTAGTCAATCACAGTCAGGAGTCACCTATTCATGTGAATGTCATCTTAATCATGTTTCTTTCATCAACATTTCTGTTAAAAAATCAAGGGTTTGTCGATAAAATATGTTTGATTTCTGACAGGCTTTTGGCAAGGTAACTCATGGAATAGTGAAAGACACAGTAGTTAAAAATCACAAGCCTCTCCTTAATGGTGACTTTGAATTTTTGGGACGACAAAACCGTTCTTCATCAGAGGTTAGTGAGAGATGATGGTGGTTGATCTCATTGTCTCTGCTGCATGTCCTCCAGCTGTATCTCCATGGAAGATTGTCCTATCCATGATACATTTGTTGTTTTGATTTGAATTCATCATGACTGCCGGTTCCTTTACAAATTTTAAAGCACCAAGGATGCATATTACAGGGTTAGCCTTTTGCAGAAGTGATCATATTGACAAAATATCCCTTAACATTTTACACTCCAACATCAGTATGCATATCCTCCTTACTGTTCTCTATACATTTCCTAAATTGCTGACAAGGAAAGTTTGTCTAACAATCAAGATCTTCTTCGACTGGCAATCATCTCCTTTATTCTTGTAAGCTTAATGTGTGATTCAGCCCAGCCTGTCATCAGTCACCATTATTATTTGTTTTGAGGATTAATAAAGAGGGTCTGAGGCTTTATACATGTACATAATTAGGAATTGAGTTAGTTTTTTACATCTCTAACTTTTGATCATTTTTTATGTTGTACTTCTCTACAGTGTTCTTCAGATTCCAATTTGGAAACATTACTGGAAGAGGCTGATAAAATACACAGCTCAAAAAATGGTTTTCGAAAGGTAATTATTTATAGCAGTGGTAAATGACTTACAGTTTAATGTAAAAATGTAATTGTTCATGGCATTTCTGAATTATCTTTTGAAACCCTTTAATTGCTGAGGTTGGTTTGCATACATGTTAAATTTCTCCTTTTGGTATCACTGCTGAATCACACATTAATGACATGAAGAAGCTCTTGATAGCTGAACAGCATTATTAAGGAAATGTGTGAAAATCTGTATGGAGAATATAGATATCCATGTATATGAGCACGATCCTTCGCAGTGAAGCACTATTTAAGCAATAGTGAAAAACAGACCTGAAAAAAATTCAGGCCTGTACGGGATTCGAACCACTGACCTCTGCGATACTAGTGCAGCGCTCTACCAATTGAGCTAACAAGCCAACTGGGAGCAGGCCATCAAATTAATTCGACATAAACCCGTAAGATGATAAATCAAACAACAAACATATGAAATACATATATATGAACTGCGGTTATGAAACGTATATGTGCACGATCCTTCGCAGTAAAGCACTATTTAAGCAATAGTGAAAATCAGACCTGAAAAAAATTCAGGCCTGTACGGGATTCGAACCACTGACCTCTGCGATACTAGTGCAGCGCTCTACCAATTGAGCTAACAAGCCAACTGGGAGCAGGCCATCAAATTAATTCGACATAAAGAAACAACCATAAAAGCAGCACTGAAGAAAATCAGAAAAAAAAAAAAAAAAAAAAAGTGCTGAAAATCGTCAGTCAAGCGACTTGAACCGATTTAAAAAAAAAAAAAAAAAAAAAAACTTCGGTTGTAAAATGTAAATCAACTCTATTACTGTAAGATCTATAGCCTAATGAT